GTGTGTGTGTGTGTGTGTGTGTGTGTGTGTGTGTGTGTGTGTGTGTGTGTGTGTGCGCGCGAGTGCACTGAATAAACTTAGAGGTAACTATTTTTCCCTATCCCCCTACTGCTTTCTTTCCTAATTCCAAGTCCTCTTCTTCTTGGAGACATTCAGTCCACCTATTGTTACTGTATTTATATGAGTGAAGGGAAATCTACTGGAACCTGGGTATCCTTTCAAAGGCTGTGTCCCTGAGGACATAGACACCCTGCTTCAATTCCAGAGTCAGTCGATTACCAATAGCTCCTCAGCTAAAGGTAAGAGATCATGAGCCCTTCACCCCCCAGTCCCTGATGAAATTTTGGCTGGCTTGATTTTGTGCATGCAGCCTTCGATACTATTCAAAATTGCCATATCATGCCCAGCAAATGGCTCTTATAATCCTTTCAACTATCCTCTCCTTTTGTGGAAAAACCTTCTTTCTAACTGTTCCTTTACCTTTGAATCTTGCCATTTTACCATTCAGAATCTGAAGTCTATCTTTCAGGATAAGAACCAAGGTTAGAAGGCTAAGAGAGTCAGCTGAACAAATTTCCACATTATGCTTATAAAAAGAAGAGTTACCCTTGATATAAAGTATTTTCAGCATCTTTCCTATGTTTTGTTTCCATTTACTCTTCAAAAGCCTTCTGCAGTGGCACTTTCTCAGTAAAACTCTCTCTTGCCAATCTCTCTGGACAAGAGTTCTAAAAGCCATAGAAAGATGCTTGCATTTCAGCCGTCTGCTTATCACGCTTCTCTGTGATCTTAATTTCTTTTCTACTGAAGGATGTGAAGCACACTGCTGTTAACATCTCTGCGTTCTGCTTACCTGTCACAATAGCTCAACCATGAGGATCACAAGATAACTGCTGGATCATTTCAGCCCTTATCTGATTACTCCTAAGACTATTTGGTCTCTTACTTTGTGACTTCTGTCCATCCTTTAATAAGCAAATATAATCAGAAATCCTGGTCTTGATTTTGCATATGGATAGATTAAAATAGTATTGAAAAAAATGGTCATTGAAAAAAAATGGCTTTAAGCTAGAATCATCCAATCAACCATTTTGGTAATAAGTACTGGCTTTCAGACCAAAAGGTTTTCCTTAATACACGTGGAAAGCCGCCATCATGATGAAGAATGAAAAACAAGAGAGATATTTTCCCAAAGCCTTTGTCATCATTTTCATCCTGCTTTTGGAGGCATCCCAGGTTGATTTCGTTATGAAAAAAAAAAATGCAAAAGAGAGCAGCAACTGAAATCTTACTCTTTGAAGAGGCACCAGGCAACTGCGTAGAGACAAGCCACAAAGAGAGCTGCTGTCAGAGTGAGCACTGCTGGAAACCAGCTGTCGGGCCTCCAGTAGTATGAGATCTTCCTTAAGACGGAGGTGGTAATCTGAGAAAACACAATAAATACTTACTGCTCCTTAACAGAGCAAGTGACAAAAATATGAAAGAACTTTTTCATATCTTACTTCCTTGTGATTATTCCTGCTGGGAAGTAAACTATTCCTGAGCAAGGACTGTTTCTTACGTATCTTTGTGTAGTCTGTGAAAATATTGCTGGGCACAAGTTCTTTACATAAGAAAGTATTATTTGAAAACGAGCACTGTACTATTGGAATTTTCTGTTTCCTACCAAGAATCACAACGTTGCCCTCTTCCCCCAGACATATAAGTTTTCATTACTAGCTTAACAGTGACCATTAAGAAACAACTAAGTAACATCAGGCTTTCGGTGATTTGTGACTAAGGTCCTTGCCTTAGGAACAGTGGCATCCAGCAGATGGCAGCATAAGATAGGATAAATTTGAAAATGCATGCATTGGGGTCAGACATTTAAGGTAATGTAATATGTAAGGCTAGTTTCACAGAAGTGGAAGGGGAAAAGGGGAAAATGGTAGCGAAGGGAGACATTTGCAGAATGGATCAGTCAGCAGGAGTGGTGGAAGAAATTTCATTGCTTATGAAATTCAGCGAAAGGATTCCTAGCTGTGTTGATTTTGAGTAGTGATTAAGATTAAGCATTAGGTAGTTGTTAAGATTAAGCATTGGGTAGTTAAGATCAGCCATTCTGCTTTATAACACACAAGTGTGGGCATGTCCAAACAAAGAAAGATGGGGAAATCAGATTAAGCTTGAGCAAGGCCAGTTTAAATGCTGTGATCTAATTTTCATAAATAAATACTGTTGTGTTGTATTTCTAAATAATAATAGATCAAATTGTTGACAGTTTGTCACTTTGAAACACAGCATTATTGTTAGATCACTAAGAAATGGCTGGGTGCGGTGGAACACCCTTGGAGTTCCAGCTACTGTGGAGGCTGAGGCTGGAGGCTGCTAAAGCAAAGGAGTTGGAGTTGAGTCTGGCAACATCATAAGACTCCCTCTCAAAAACTAAACTACTGGGACTCACAACCAAACTTTGTGCAGAGTGCCAGAATCGTTATGGAATAAGATGGTAATAGAAAGACCTGAGAGGGACAGGAACTCCACAAGGAGACCAACAGAGAAAAAATACCTGGGCCCAAGGAGGAAGCGGGGGGAGGCAGAGACTGATACTCCAACCATGGGCCATGCATGGAGAGGACCTACTCTGTTCCAAAGAAACCCATTGGATGTTCAGTGTCCAAGTTGGTTGCCAAGGGGTAACCAATTTGTACCCAAGGGGTACAGGGACTGTCTCTGACATGAACTCAGTATCCCCTACCCCTGAGAGGGGGAGCAGCCTTACCAGGCCTCAGAGGAGGACAATGCAGGCAGTCTTGATGAGACCTGATATGCTAGGGTCTGACAGAAGGGGTGGAGGGACCTCCCCAATCAGGGTTCTAGGTGCATATGGGGAGAAAGGGTGGGGGGACTGGGAGGAGACAAGGCACTGGGGTGAGGCTGCAGCAGGGATATAAAGTGAATAAATTGTAATAAATAAATATATAAAATAAAATTAAATAAAAAAACTAAACTACTAATACTAACAGTAAAATACCTTCTCAAGTACATTTGCCACAATATAAGGAAATAGAGTCTATTCTGCCCTTGTTTGTCTCTCTCTCTCTCTCCCTCTCTCTCTCTCTCTCTGTCTTCCTTCCTTCCTTCTAACAAGTATTTACTGAATATTCATTGTACTCTGGGAATCAACATGTAACGGTCATACAGAATCCTGAATCCCAGGCACAGCATTTATTTGCTAACTGCTGTGGACCATGCTTGAACTCAGCTCTGGATTCCCATCTCAGAGGATGAGACCTCACCATGGCTAGTCTGCAAGGAAGAGTGGAGAGGAACGGTTCCTGGGAGCATCCTGTACGGTGCAAAGTCCAAAATGACAGAAATGGAGTCCATACAACCATATTCCTTTCAGTGCCCTGGGCTACATACTGTCAGACTGAGAGTATTGTGACCATTTTAAGTTTAAAAAGTTCAGTATGGAGCCCTCACATACACTTACCCAGCTGTAGGAAGCTAACTGACAGCTCTTGTGTGGTCATTTGTTGTAGTACCTTCCGATCTAACTTTGTTGCCTGTGTGAGTGTGTGTGTGTGTGTGTGTGTGTGTGTGTGTGTGTGTGTATGTGTGTGTGTGTGTGTTTTCATTTTGAGACCCACCTGCTGTTTGTGCTTCTCCTACCTGACAACAAGCAAAGAGCTTTGTGAGGCTTTTTTCTCTTTTGTTTCTTCATGTGCTCACATAAAATTTATCTAGCGCTTTTTATTTTTAAAAAAGCCAAACTTCTTTGTCAAATATTGAAGTTTCCTAAGATAAGTCAGGATAATACGTTGAGAAGCGCTGTAAAAAGAGCAAAATCTTTCTCCAGGTATTAACACAATAGAAATGGCTCGTATTTGTATAGCATGTGTATTACAAGATCTTTCATGTCTCTTGTTTCAGTTGATCCTAATAAAAACTTCTGTACAGCACACTGAATTATTTTAATCCACCTAGTAATCCTGAACACTGAGCAAATATTTGAATGTGTATTTTGTGTAGGCTGGACCCCTTCCTACACAATTCCCATTCATGATTCCAAACAACTTGACAGTCTTAGGTATGGGATTTTACATTCTCACAGCTTACCAGGCTTGTTAAGCTATTATTTTACACTTTAATTGTTTTCAAGTCTGTTTGGTGTTTCCAGCACACAGGAGTCATGACAGAGGTCAATGCTTGCCTCCTGTACCTGCCTGTCTAACTTTCTTGCCTGTGGGTTTTTATTATTTTGTTTTGTTTTGTTTTGTTTCTTTTTGCTACTCCCTAAGCTTTACCAATCTACCTAATTTCTTCACTATCCCTGCCTCAGCCAACCTCACTTTCTGTCTCAGGACACACTTCGTCTTTCTCCTGTTATGAAGAATAAACCATGTGCCCTCAAATCTACATTTCATCAACTGTGGCTGCTGTTGCTTAATGTCCAAGCTTCTCATTCTGTCTATCAGAACCTACCTAAAACTCCACGTTCCCTTCTGGGACTTTCTCAGATGCTTCAAATCAGAATTTGATACGACATCTGCCCTACATTTGCTTATTCTTTACAGCACTTGTCAAAATGACTTGTAACCTAATTTACAGGAGACCAACCTCTGTGTTTACTGGAACTTCTCAAGCTTCATTTCTGGGGGCTCTTTCTTCTATTTTATACCTTATTCTTATTTATACCTACACTACTCAGATGATTCCTCAAACTTCAAGCCTTGCTGCTCTTTTAATGATCTTTCTGGCTGTATCATTTAGTAAGACTGTGACCCTAAAACAATAATTTAACCATGAGAAGAGAATTTGGACTTTTGGTGCTTTAGTCTTTAATTTTGTAATGTGACAAAACAGTCAAATCTTTGAATTTGATTAAATCAAATCACTTTAATGAGAAAACTCATATAGATGCATTTAGAGACCTAAATTTGACTACTAGGTAAGAAATCTTGTTCAAATATTAGCTGCATAATGTTCTCAAGGAAATTGACTTCAATTATTAAATCCCAAACTTCATAGCACCCATTTTAAATTGTGCATTCATTGTCATGCAAAGTCTATGCTGTTTACACTTGCTTTGAAATGTAGGGTGATACATTTCTCAAATGCTTTCAGATTTTTCGGAGCAGACAGCCCAAAGGCCCTTGTGGACTCAGACACTGGTGTCTCCTACCATGAAGGACACGAGGAGTGATGAGACCAAGTGCTCTGAACTGGCAGACGCTGTATGTCATCAGACATTTATCTCACCATTAGGTAAATCACTAGTGAAAACAGAGGAATTTCCGCTCTGTCACTTGGTCATTAACTAAACTTCTTACTGCTGCATGCAGTTAATCTGATTCATAGCCTTAATTGCTTAACTTGTTATACTTTACAGAAAAGACAATAATAATAATCTTCCTTGTCATGGAATCTTTCATCAGTGTTTGGAGTCACAACAGGTGTTCAGGGTATATCGGAGTACAGTTCAACTTAGATTATTTATTGCCTTTCATATTAACCCATTCACCTCTTGCTGAAGAAGACTTTAAAAATATTGTCAATAAGAATTTTTCATTTAATTTTTATTCTGAAATATTTTACTAATTACAGAATAGGTGCCAAATGAAAATGTCAAATAGCCTTTAAGAGTAAAATTGATTTAAGCAGAAATAATGTTTTTTTTTTACATTCTTAGAAACTTACTACAGATAGTGGAATTTACAAAATTAATATTAGAAAAATATAAAGAAAACAGAATTTTTTTTTTACTTAGAGGGAACTGTAAATGAGAACTAATTGATCTGTGCTGAATACTTTGAAACAATAAACAATCTATTTTTGTATGTTTTCAGCCAATGAAAAAACACTTATGAGGTATGCAATGTATTAATAACATCCTATGATAGGGCCAGTGTGTTAGAAAGGGTTGATGAAACGTCTGTTTGTAATCCTCCTTGACAGACTGGATACTGAGGTTCAATATAGTAAGTGACTCAGCACAGGTTTACCTAGAGACGGAAGAACTAAGAGGCAAGCCAGGACCTGCCTCATCACTAAGGCTACACTCTGCCACTCCATTTGGACCCCATTGTGGTACTGCACACCAGTAATCCAATTGGGAGGTTAAGATGAATTCAAAGCAGCCCACCTCACATAGGGAATTTATTGCCATTTAGTAGGCTTGTTGTCTTGCAAGACCCTGGTTCATTTCTCAGCATTTACGTGATATTTCACAACCATCCTGTGTTCAATTTCAAGAGATCCAGTGCCCTTTTCTGAAATCTATGGGTACCAGGCATACAGGTGGTTCACGTGTAAACATGCAGCCAAAGCTACGATTCACATACCAAAATAAATAAATAAATAAATAAATAAATAAATAAATAAATAAATAAATAAATAGTAAATCTAAAAAAGTAATTGAAGCCAGCCTAAACAGCCTAG